CAAATAATTATGTTCAGTTATGCACTCAATAGTCAATACTTGGTCGGGAATCCTTTTGCAGAAATGACTGCTTCAATGCGGCGTGGCATGGAGGCAATCAGCCTGTGGCACTGCTGAGGTGTTATGGAGGCCCAGGATGCTTCGATAGCGGCCTTAAGCTCATCCAGAGTGTTGGGTCTTGCGTCTCTCAACTTTCTCTTCACAATATCCCACAGATTCTCTATGGGGTTCAGGTCAGGAGAGCTGGCAGGCCAATTGAGCACAGTAATACCATGGTCAGTAAACCATTTACCAGTGGTTTTGGCACTGTGAGCAGGTGCCAGGTGGTGCTGAAAAATGAAATCTTCATCTCCATAAAGCTTTTCAGCAGATGGAAGCATGAAGTGCTCCAAAATCTCCTGATAGCTAGCTGCATTGACCCTGCCCTTGATAAAACACAGTGCACCAACACCAGCAGCTGACATGGCACCCCAGACCATCACTGACTGTGGGTACTTGACACTGGACTTCAGGCATTTTGGCATTTTCTCCCCAGTCTTCCTCCAGACTTCCACACCTTGATTTCCGAATGACATGCAAAACTGAGCAACAGTCCAGTGCTGCTTCTCTGTAGCCCAGGTCAGGCGCTTCTGCCGCTGTTTCTGGTTCAAAAGTGGCTTGGCCTGGGGAATGCGGCACCTGTAGCCCATTTCCTGCACACGCCTGTGCACGGTGGCTCTGGATGTTTCTACTCCAGACTAGAGGTCTGCTACCCGACCCGAGCCCGACGGGTCCCGAAAAATGTGCGGGTTTCGGGTCGGCTTCGGGTTAATGTTTAATGAACAGCCTCGGGTTCGGGTCGGGTTCGGGTTTAACTAAGAAAAACTAAATAGGCTATATATAGTTTGCGTGCCGTGTGCTTTGCCTGCTTGCTGTGTTGTGGTGACCGGCACGCGAGAGAGAGAGAAAGTATACGTGCGCAGATGTGCAATATGTGCATACACAGTACACAGTCAGACACACAGTCTCTCTCTCTCAAATATAATGATAATGATATATATATATATATATCATTTTTTTAAAATTATTTGTTTTATTTTATCATATCATTTATATCACAAAACTGTTTTGCGCATGTGCTACCGCTCTCGCGCGCTATTTCAGTCACAATACAGACAGACAGCCGACGACAACAAGCAAACCATGAGTCTGATAAAGCAAAAAATTACTTGGTAAGTTTTTTCTCTTAGGCTACTGCTGTGCTGCCTGCTGATAGGGCCGCTGCGCCTACATGTATTTGTTTAATATGTCAAGCAATCATTAAATACAACATAGCATATTGCAAAAATGGTATTTGCTGTGAGAAACAGAATGGACCTCGGGTTCGGGTCGGGTTCGGGCTTAATATGTAAATGTGATTGTCGGGTCGGGTTAAATGATCGCGGGTACGGGCCGGGTTCGGGCTTCAGTTTAAAGCCCGTGCAGACCTCTACTCCAGACTCAGTCCACTGCTTCCGCAGGTCCCCCAAGGTCTGGAATCGGTCCTTCTCCACAATCTTCCTCAGGGTCCGGTCACCTCTTCTCGTTGTGCAGCGTTTTTTGCCACACTTTTTCCTTCCCACAGACTTCCCACTGAGGTGCCTTGATACAGCACTCTGGGAACAGCCTATTTGTTCAGAAATTTCTTTCTGTCTTACCCTCTTGCTTGAGGGTGTCAATGATGGCCTTCTGGACAGCAGTCAGGTCGGCAGTCTTACCCATGATTGCGGTTTTGAGTAATGAAACAGGCTGGGAGTTTTTAAAAGCCTCAGGAATCTTTTGCAGGTGTTTAGAGTTAATTAGTTGATTCAGATGATTAGGTTAATAGCTCGTTTAGAGACCCTTTTCATGATATGCTAATTTTTTGAGACAGGAATTTTGGGTTTTCATGAGCTGTATGCCAAAATTATCAGTATTAAAACAATAAAAGACCTGAAATATTTCAGTTGGTGTGCAATGAATCTAAAATATATGAAAGTTAAATTTTTATCATTACATTATGGAAAATAATGAACTTTATCACAATATGCAAATTTTTTGAGAAGGACCTGTAATTTAACATCTAACATTTGAACAGAATGTACTGTACGAAACCAATGGAAAACTTGTGACTTTGAGTGTGTGCGTGTGTGTGTATAAATAACAAATATGGGAAATGAAACTAGACAGGTGTCTAAATTCGAAACTAAAAACAGAGTTTGGTTACCTTGTAACCAAAGGGCATGTCAAGAACCAATCAAATTAAGTAATGTTTCATGTCAATATGCCATATCTCATTATTCTTTAAAACTGTTGTATTTGTGTTTACTGGTGGGATTCTCAATGGGATTTGTCTGAGATCCACCGGCCATTCTTATTGCTTCTTTTTGGGAGATTCTCTGAGAACTGCTCGAGACTCCCGGCCGTAATAAAGAACATTCAAAGGACAATTACTCAAGTCTGTCTGTCATTAACACTGCGCAGCAAGAGAACAAGTAAGTTAGATTATCGGTTCTGGACGCTGTAGTCGACTGGAGACTCGCTGAAGTATAATTAGGGAGCGGATGCTGTAGTCGACTGGAGACTCGCTGAAATATAGTTAGGGAGCAGATGCTGTAGTCGACTGGAGACTGGCTGAAGTATAGTTAGGGAGCGGATGCTGTAGTCGACTGGAGACTCGCTGAAGTATAGTTAGGGAGCGGATGCTGTAGTCGACTGGAGACTCGCTGAAGTATAGTTAGGGAGCGGATGCTGTAGTCGACTGGAGACTCGCTAAAGTATAGTTAGGGAGCGGATGCTGTAGTCGACTGGAGACTCGCTGAAGTATAGTTAGGGAGCGGATGCTGTAGTCGACTGGAGACTCGCTGAAGTATAGTTAGGGAGCGGATGCTGTAGTCGACTGGAGACTGGCTGAAGTATAGTTAGGGAGCGGATGCTGTGGTCGACTGGAGACTCGCTGAAGTATAGTTAGGGAGCGGATGCTGTAGTCGACTGGAGACTCGCTGAAGTATAGTTAAGGAGCGGATGCTGTAGTCGACTGGAGACTCGCTGAAGTATAGTTAGGGAGCGGATGCTGTAGTCGACTGGAGACTCGCTGAAGTATAGTTAGGGAGCGGATGCTGTAGTCGACTGGAGACTCGCTAAAGTATAGTTAGGGAGCGGATGCTGTAGTCGACTGGAGACTCGCTGAAGTATAGTTAGGGAGCGGATGCTGTAGTCGACTGGAGACTCGCTGAAGTATAGTTAGGGAGCGGATACTGTAGTCGACTGGAGACTCGCTGAAGTATAGTTAGGGAGCGGATGCTGTAGTCGACTGGAGACTCGCTGAAGTATAGTTAGGGAGCGGATGCTGTAGTCGACTGTAGACTCGCTGAAGTATAGTTAGGGAGCGGATGCTGTAGTCGACTGGAGACTCGCTGAAGTATAGTTAGGGAGCGGATGCTGTAGTCGACTGGAGACTCGCTGAAGTATAGTTAGGGAGCGGATGCTGTAGTCGACTGGAGACTCGCTGAAGTATAGTTAGGGAGCGGATGCTGTAGTCGACTGGAGACTCGCTGAAGTATAGTTAGGGAGCGGATGCTGTAGTCGACTGGAGACTCGCTGAAGTATAGTTAGGGAGCGGATGCTGTAGTCGACTGGAGACTCGCTGAAGTATAGTTAGGGAGAGGATTCTGTAGTCGACTGGAGACTCGCTGATGTGTGAACGTAGCTGACGTCAAGTATTTAGACGAGCTAGCGTATAAGTTATACTAGAATAGTTAGTCTTACACCGTGTCCTAACTACACGCGACGCGACAGATCCGCCCACACAGAGATCTCATTGGATGGAAGTTCTGCGTGTCATGAATATTGTTTCATTTGAGTTTGAATATAATTTTCCTTCCATCCATAATAAAGCGACGGGATGGATATGAATTTCCCTATGAACAAGATCGAATAAACTGATTGTCATATGAAGAAATTACACTGGTTATGAGTACACATTATTTATTTTTAGTTAAAAATAGGTCACTGTGCCTGTGTGCCACAAGCGATAATGGATAATTTACCTCAGATTTCGAAAGCATATAATATAGCGTTCAAACTGAATTCTATGCAAACATACAACTGTACTTCATAACAAAATTAGTCAATGAGTATATTTTGTTAATGTTTTGATTTTTAATAATGTTATTTCTTGATTTGATTATGTCCTTACCCATTTCCAATGCGAGTGCGGGCCAGCAGTGCGCTTTCACAGAGAGACTCCGCCCACACGCTGTTCTGAATGGCTGTGATTTTTGATTGACGTGTGGCGTCTCACAGTCGCGTCGCGTCTAGTGTGGACAGACACACTTGCTGTCGCTGGAATTTTATCGCGTCGTGTGTAGTTAGGACACGGTGTCAGGGAGACAAATCTAAAAAAGTTAGGATTGAGGATAGAAAATCCATCACAGTACCTTAAGTCATTTAATAATAATAATAATAATACTAATATAATGTTCTATTTTTATCTTCCATCTAATTATATGAGAAATATTTTGAAGTCTTTTCAAGCCTTTAATTTAAGGAGAAAGCTACTTTGACTCTTCTGAAACCACTTAGTTTGTGTTCCATTCAATTGTGTCGTATTAATATTCTAGTCTCATCTCTCAATATTCCAGAGATCCAGATAGAGTTCCACTACACGCTCCTGCCAAACAATGAATATGAGAAGACAAGCAGCAATTTAACAATGTCACCTCTAAAACTGAGTCTTTAACTAAATGTATGATGACGCTTTAAGGGCTGGTGTATTATGAGAGAATTATAAATATATTTATTAGACTTCTCCCCTTTTCTACCAGTCTGCCAAATATTTGAAAGTGCATTACTCAAGTCGTAAAAACCAAAAAACCCATATCAATATGACCTCCTGCATGTGTAACTGATTTGGTGTTACTTATTGAGGTCAAGACTTCACTCATATCCACAATTAAACAGAGTAAACAAAAGACAAATGATTAGTGAAGCTTTTAACGCACCTGGAGAGATTCCATATGAGAGCAAGATTGTCTTTTCCTCCTGAAACAAAATGACTGCTGTCATCAGTGAAATGGATGCAGCTCAGGTCCTGATAGTGTCGACTCAAAATAGCCAGCAAATTTCCTGTTGACACCTATTAGGAAGTATTAAATGTTAAAGGTGGTGATAAAATATGACTCTTGTAACCAACTTAATATGCAGAGACAACTGTAAGTCACTTGTCACAAGACTCAATGACAAATAAGTGTGTCCACAATGAAAAATAGGAAAAAAATCTAGTTTAAAAGACCAAGTACTAAATGTGCCAAGTTCATAGAAATGTACTCTGACTGACTCTTTGCATTCATGTTGGTTTCATATAGTTTTAAAAGATAACTTTTATGCCATTTTTTTACTTGTCATGTGGAGTAACCATCAAGTAAAAGGTCCATATTTTCCTTAAGTCGTAAATATATGTGAGTGCACACATCTTATTCATTATTTCCAAAAAGGTTTTTATATTTTCAAGGTAAACTTTTTTTTTTACTTTACAACCTGAACTAACATGTCTTAATATTTGATATTTTAAAAGACTCAGTGACCTTGACACACAATCACACAATATTATGATATCAGTTGCACCACCCTGACATTTGTTCAAAAATATTATGTGAATTTTAAGTCAAATTTTGAATGTATTTTTTAATAAATTAACTGAATGAGAATCATCTCAAAACGAAGTAAAATTATGTTATATTCTTTGATAACCAAAACAAATCTCCTCACCTCCCACAGGTATATAGCTTCAGCAATGCCTGCCAGTACATAGAGGCCATTAGGAGATGCACAGAGACACGTAACAATCCCAGGACACACAATCTTCTGCTGAAGCTGGTCCTGAAAGGTAATCATGTGCAGAATCAAAAAGTTATCAGCTTTGTTCTGGGCATTTAGAAGAGTTGTTGCAATATGTTCAATATGAAATTAACAAGGAATGACTGACTAATGACCATCATAGATTGTCATAGATTCAAAGTCACAGCCATTGAAAATTATTTGAGAGCACATATTTCTGGCTGGTACAAGTTTCTATTGTTCATATTTTTGAATGGTCTGACAGGTTCAGTTTTAACTACAACAGCAGAGAGATGGTGATGGCGAAAGAATGAAGTTTGTGTCCAGTGTTCATTTATTAAACCAAACCAGTTAAAACATGTCTACATCTAGCTGTCAAATTTATTGTGCTCATGCACATTTACATTGGATGTAAACACTCTAGGAGTCGAGTCAGAAAGATTTGACTCAGATTAGGGATGTGGGGAAATATAACCTACACCAACTTTGCACATTAGCAACATGTCAAACATAAGTACTTCTTGTATTTAAAAAAGGGTTTAACCAGTCACAACACCATCATCTATAAACAGCGACTTAATTCATCTCTGGTGGCAATGATAACCTAATACACTGTTGTTCTATGACAATTTATTCAATATTTAGGCTACTAATTGTATCATGATCTGATATGTGGCAATAATGCTTATTTAAAAAATAGAAAAACTGGACTTTATATTAGCAGTGATGACTGCAGTGTGACTATTCATCTACTCATCCGTTGCGACCAAAGACTTTCTGCCAGTGATAGAAATTTAGCATGATCATCTCACAGTGTGTTTGCTGCTACGACATAGGCTACATCTACTGACTAGCCAATAAAAATGCAATATAAAAGGCGGTATTGATCAACGCGACATGGCGCTAAAACTTAAAGCTTCTACCTCAAACTCCATTTGCAAAATTGGCATGCCAAAATTTTCCCTAGCCATGATGACAACATCCATATTCTCCTCTTTCGCTTTTACCACTGGCACATGATGAAGACGTTTTATTCTTCTATAGGAACTTGCAAGGTAGCCTACGATTCAATAGTGTCATCACACAGTCTACATACATGTCCTACCCAAGTTTATTAGATCCATGTGATTTGTCTGAAGCAGGTATTAAAGTGACGCAGCCTAATATTCCTGCTGCTCTCTGTTTTTTAAATGTTAATCAAACAACAAAAGACAGAGAAAACATTTCTCACAGCTCTTGACTAGAAAACTTTTGTAACTTCATTAAGGATTAATCTATATTTAATTTATACAGTGAAGACTATGCAGTGATATTTTACATTTGATTACTTTATTCAATTTCTATAGCCTACCTGAAAACTACTTAAACCTACCTGAAAAGTACTGTTTATTTCATTTGTATCTTTGTTCTAGTGTATTTATTTGTGCTATTGCTTGTAATTTGATTGTGTGTTCTTTTTGTACTGTTTAATAATGTTTAAATGTTAGTTAGGCTAGCAGTTTTAGCTGTGGTATCGAAATTGGAATAGGTCATTTTCACTATTTAAAATGTCGGTGTCATTACTGCCTGTTTTAGCAGAAGGCCATTGGGCTAATTTTGGCTGTGATTGGTCTAGTTTTGATTTTTTAATTAGCTATTGGGCGGGTTTTGTTGTTAAGACCTGGCAACCCAGCTTGATGTCAGCTGTTCACACTGTTACACACACAACTCTTTTTAAAATTACACTGAATAACACTTGTTCTGAACAATTCTGCTTTTATTACTTATTTATTGAGTATAATACCAGTGATGTTTGTTTCCAGTGTATGCATCAGCTCTAACGTTACCCACCTTTCTCTGGATCTCCCACACGTTTATGAAGTTCTTGCAGAGTTGAGCTCCTAATATGTATTCTCCGTTCAAGACTGTTAAAGACCTGGAGGAGGTGTTACCTCCGCGATAGGTCAAGAACTCTGCCCCGGAATTAGGGTCGAAAACTGCACAGTTAAACAGCTGACCCGCTGAATCTGCGGATAGAACTATCTCTGCGGGCGCAGACATGTTGGATTAGACAAAGCGCGATTATTTTGCAAGGCGACGAGGGACGGGTCTGTGCAACGTCATTTCCGATAAAGTAAGGGACTATGGGTATTGCTGTTTTATCAAAGGCAGAGCCCTAAAAGTCGTGAGTGAAAGGGGATTTTTGAAAGGGGAATACTAGCCTACTTATTTACATAGTTAAGTATTTGAGTTCATGAAAAGTTTGTAAGGATTTGTGTGTTAAAGAAAAAGGTGTGCTACTAATAAAAATGTAGGCTAAATGTCAGTTTCAGGAGTCAAATCCTACTTCAAGTCCCACTTTACTAAAAGCCACACACGTCGGGTTAATGATTATTTTGTTGGAAAGCGATCTCAATAGGTTGTACAATTATGATTTCATAGCATCTCCGTCTCAGATGTTCACGTTTTTTAAAGTGAAGGCAAAAAACAAGTGTAGCAGAAACCAAACCTGTTTTTCTCATGAAGTGAGGTGAGCTTCCCCTGCTGCTCTCGTGTTGTGGTTTGTGGTGATGGGTAGCCTAGTTCTCACTCGATCTGCCCCAGAAAGACACGCGAGTAGATAAAGATTAACCCCCTCGATCGTGTCGATAGTAGATGATTTCCACCCCAACAATTGTTAAGGCGAACTCTGGGTACAAAGATCATCTTGAACTGCCCGTCTATTCACCATTTCTTATGAGTGAGGACCTTTCCGAAAACAAGAATGGGGATAAGAGTGGCTGTGCTTTTGCTTGTTGTTTCTGTCAGTCTGACTGAAGGTATGTTTGGCTCTCACTTTTGTCTGTCATTGCTGATGTTATCAGTGCGAACGGCACATATACATCACCGCAGACAGAGGAAGATGATAGATATTGAGATTAGCTTGATATACTTTACGGAAGTAGCAATATAGATTTCAGAAGATTGTGATGGTGTAATTTATCAGAGCTGTGACCCAGGCAGGCACCATTTGACTAAACCACCATTAAAAAACTAGGATGTAAACAAATGAAAGGAACGGCTCTTTTTTGGTGTAGTTTTTACCTGACTATTACATCCATCTGATTTAAAAAGTCAAATACTTATTGAAATGGAAATACTGTAGATAACTTTGTATGTAGTCAAATGTTTGTGACTTTACTTGGATCCAAGTTTCAAATTTGATGACTTGCAAAGTTGCGACTCAACTCTACATAATCAAAGAAGACATGAGACCTGACTTAGACTTTGACACCAATGACTCAAGACTTAACTCTGTCTTCAGCCCTTTGACTTGGAATGTCTTTATGGCCTACCTTCTCAAACCAAAGATCAGAGTGTAAGCTGATTTTAATTACTTAAAAAGTATTAACGTAAATAGCGGGGACTACCCAGAATCCAATGCCCAAATGACGTATAGTTTCCCAGACTCTATATAACTTGGCCACTGAAAGGTATGATCACACTTGTATGATTAGTGCTGCTTTCACGCTTTGGCTGGCACTAAGTCAACCACATAATGTTCATTTCATGTTTCCAACATTTAAATACAAATAAGTAGCCTAGTAGCAAACAATTTAGTAAGAGCACTTATGATTTGCTAATAGGACTTATAGCTTTAAGCTTAAGGTTGAGGACATGCAACTTGACTTGGACTTGCCTGTCTTGACTCGAGACTTGACTTGGAACTTGTCTGTATTGACTCAGGACTTGACTCGAGACTTGAATGCAAAGACTCGAGTCTTACTGTATATGACTTGCAAAGAAATATCTTGGTCCCACCTCTGGGATGTCTTAATGTTTTTTTCAATGACTCTTGCTCTTACCAAGCTTGCATTTCATCAAACATACAGTAAAACAGTAATATTGTGAAACATAACTTTTCTATTTGAATATATTTAAAAATGTAATTTATTCCTGTGATGGAAAAGCTGAATTTTCAGCATCATTACGCATTACCAACGCATTACTCAGTCTTCAGTGTCACATGATCCTTCTGAAATCATTATGCTGATTTAGTGTAATTATTATCAATTGTTATTGGTTATTGTATTTAATGTTTATTATTATCAATGTTATTAACATTTTTGCTGTTTAATATTTTTGTGAAAATCGTGATTTTTTTTTCAGGATTCTTTGATGAATAGATCATTGTAAAAGAACAACATATATTTGAAATAGAAATGTTGGCCTTTTTTGGCCTGATACTTTTTTTTTATTAGGATTCAATTCTCACAATTAACTATATTAAATTCGTCTGTTGCGTATTCATTTTGCCTAATCACTGCTTATTAATATTTAGTAAGGTAGTTGTCACATTTAGGTTTTGGGTAGGACTAAGGAATGTAGAATAAGGTCATGCAGAATAAGGCATTAATATGTGCTTTATAAGTTCTAATAAACAGCCAATATCCTTGTAATATGCATGCTAATAAGCAACTAGTTAATATTGAGAATTGGACCCCAGACTAAAGTGTTACAGACATTTTTTTATAACATTGTAAATATCTTTACTGTCACTTTTGATCGATTTAATACATCCTTGACTATTTTAATTTTGAAGTAATATTATAGACTATATAATAGACTAATATTACTTCAAAATGAAAATAGACTTGTAATATACATCAACTTGATGCAACCTGGACACATCATCAGTGATGTTACCTGGGTTCACTTAGTGTTTCGGGTATTTCAAGCATCATACACTCTCACCCAGGTGACCCAGCTGGGGTTGATCAGGCTCCAGCTTGTGTCCAGGTAGCCCTACCCCACCCATGGTTCTCCTCTCCTTATCCACAGCCACCTTGAGGCAACCTCTGCTGACTCCATGACCTCCTTGATGGCCCTTCGCTTACTGGCCCCTATGATGGCCAGGATGTTGTAAGCCCTGCAGAGAGACTGGCCACCAATCCCTCTGCATCCCACCTCAATGGACTCACACCACGCTCGCCACCCATTGTTCCGGCACTCCTCCACTAGCTCAGCATATTTTGCCCTCTTCCTCTCATTGGCCTCCTCGATATGGTCCTCCCAGGGTACGGTGAGTTCCAGGAGAACGATCTGCTTAGAGGTCTCTGAGATGAGTAACATGTCAGGCCGCAGCGTTGTAGTGGCGACAGTTTCTGGGAATTTCAGTTGCTTCCCCAGGTCAACTTTCAACTCCCAGTCTCGTGCTGTTGCTAGCAGGCCAGATGAGGCGGCCCTGGCAGCTAAGGGTGGCTTCTCCCCAGCCCGGACGAAAGCAACGGTGTTCTTCACTGGGCGGAGGCGCTTGCAGTGGCCAATTCCACAGCTGATGGTATTCGCTATGGCCTTCAGGACTTGGTCATGGCGCCAACGGTAGCGCCCCTCGCCCAGGGCCTTCGGACAGCAGCTGAGGATGTGCTCCAGGGTCCCCCTCTTCAGGCAGAGGTTGCAGGCTGGTGACTCCACCAATCCCCAGCTGAACAGGTTGGATGGGCTCGGTAGTACATCGTAGACAGCCTGGATCAGGAACCGTATGCGATGGGGTCTGCTTTCCACAGCTCTCCCCATGAGACTCTGCGGTCCACTGCATGCTCACATCTTGTCCAGGCTCCCTGCTGCCGCATTCCAACCATCCTGCTGGCCCTCTCCTCCTCTACTGCTGCCCGCACCTCTTGCTGCACCAGAGATCTCCTGTCCTTCCCCTGCGCCTTGTTACAGCGAGATGTTGTGCCGCTACCCAGGCCAGCTCCTTCCATGAGTCTATGTTTCAATTGTAAAAGTATTTCACAATATTACTGTTTTTACTGTATTTTTGATCAAATAAATGCAGCTTGGTGACCTAACTTATTTAAGAAACTTATTTGGGATCAGGTGAGTTACAACAGTCAAACTTACAGATTTTGTTTTTTTCCATGATGTAAATGTTTTTAAAGCAGCAGGATGTATACCTACAACGAGTCTGCGGTGTTACAAAAATTCTACTTTTCTGGAAGAGGACTTTATTTGTAAATGGGATAAGAGAAACCCTAAGGAGAATCAGACACACACTCTTTTTATATGGTGAGTACAAACAACACATTGAAAGTAACACGTACTGTACAGATCTCATTGTCTTTATAAAAATAATAATATGTTTAATCAAGGACGCTTCACAATAACAGTAAAAAACAAACAATCATTTCATACATAAATGGACAATAGACATTAGCCCAGTCTAAGAAATGACCGATAACAGTTACATACCGCATTGCAATTGGAAAACAAACAGAAACAATAACAGAAACAAAAAACAACACTATTTACAGACAGCATAGAAGGTGGGCAGTTGAAGCAAAGGTCAGATGCAAAAGACTAATGGTACGTAAGGATACATTATGACTGTAAAAGTTATGGAAATTGTTTAAGAAAAACATGTCATGACTGATAATACTGTTTAAACAAATGTGTTTTGAGTTTAGACTTAAATTCTTGCAGCTTGATTGTTGTCCTAAGAGTCAGGGGAAGAGAGTTCCATAGCTTAGGGGCTATAACGGAGAAAGACCTGCCACCCGTAGATGAAAGATGAAATCTCGGCTCACAGAGGAGTTTACAGCCAGAAGATCGGAGAGGTCGAGGGGGAATATAAGGAGAAAGTAAGTCAGAGAGATAGGAAGGAGCAAGACCATTGAGTGACTTAAAGGTAAGCAGAAGAATTGTGTAAGTAATACGAATTGTGTAAGTAATACGAGAAGTTCTCGTATTACTTACACAATTCTTCTGCTTACCTTTAAGTCACTCAATGGTCTTGCTCCTTCAGAGGAGGTTGAACAGAATTGGAGTGATATGAGCAGATCGTTTAGTGTAAGTTAGCAATCTTGCGGCAGAGCTTTGAATATATTGCAAACATGATATAGAGTGTGCTGGTAGTCCAGAAAAAAAGAACATTACAGTAGTCGAGGCGAGATGTGATAAACGCATGTAACAGCGATTCAGCGTCTTTTGGGCTGACATAGTGTTTGGCAATACGGCGGAGTTGAAAAAATGCAGCTTTACAGAGTTGACTAATATAAGCGTCGAAGGTCAGTGAAGGGTCAAGAGTGATACACAAGTTTTTGACAGTGGCAGATGGAATAATTGATGTAGCTTCAAGGTCAAGTGTGGAAGTATTAGTTATATTTTTTGTTAGAGATGGTGGACCAGTAATTAAGATTTCTGTTTTAGTCAGATTCAAACTGAGAAAATTGCAGTTTAGCCAGGTTTTTCATTCATTATTTCATGATGATAGTGATGTAGTCTGGTGAATAGAGTCCAATCGGCAAGCATTATATATCTGAATATCATCGGCATCCAGTGGGCAATTGATGTTGAAAAGACATCAAATTGATGTCAAAATCAACGTCAAGGAACAGGTCAAATATGCAAATCAAATTGACGTCAAAACCAATCCTTGACATTGATTTGATGTAAACTGAATGTCAAACATATTGACCTGCATATACATAAACCAATTTCAGTGTGGGTATTAACTTTCTCTTTTCATCTAATTACCACTGGAAGACATTTTCTTTTCAAACTGACCTTAAAATGATATACAATATCTTGATCAAGTCTTGACCAACTTTTGACGTCAAATTGATATCATGGTGCCCGCTGGTATTGAAAACCGAGACACCACCGACACCTTCTGAGTGGGCATTTACAGTTACGGGCTAAATGGCCCTGCTGACCACAATTAAAACACTCTATCTGGTGAATTTGTTTCAAGCCTCAACTACAGCATCAGACACCTTGCCTATAGTTTGATCACTGTGAGCTTGCAAACGACTCCAACTTACTGCACACCCTTGAAGCAGTGTGTCCCAATCAGGAATGTAAACAGAGCCACTGATAAGCAGTTCTCTGTATTCTTTTTACAGTCCAAAAGTGGCGGATTCAATCACAACAGCCAAATCATAATCTTCATCATTATCATTGGCAGAACATTAATTTTCATAAGCTGCACTGAAACACTCAACATATTCGAAGTTGTTTTCACAAAGTTTCTGTTTACTTTAGTCACACTTGTCCAGGGAAATGATCCCCGATCCATAATTTCCTTTACTTGCTTTTTTGTAAAGCACAGTTATTCATAAATAGTCCCATAAATTCTATCATACATTTTATTTTCATAAAATCATTTCTTCTACTATATTTATTTGTATCTATCAAATGGTTAGTCTGCAGATACAACAAGTATTATCATTATTGTCTCAGTCCCACTTATCTCTACTGTTTTGCAGAAACCAAAATATTATATTACTCATATCTCAATCCCCAAGTCGCACACACAGCATTATAGCTGCTTGCTCCTTCAATCCTTATTATATAAATGTAAGTTCTCTAGACATCTAATGTCATGCATCCATTTACTGGATGAAAAAGTAAAAGCGTTTTGGATGAAAAAGTAAAAGCGTTTTTTTTTTTTTTTTGGCAGTTCAACTTTTTTCTTTTGCACTCTGCCTCCTGTAACCAGCTGTCACGTGTTTAGTTCTGTGTTTGGGTTCATGTTTAGTGGTCATGTGTTTAGTCTTGTGGTTTTGTAATGTTCTTGGTTAATTGTTCCCTGCGTGTTAATACTCTTCCCAGGTGTTTCCCATTGACCACACCCTCTCGTTATGTTAGCTTATTTAAGCCTGTGTGTCTTGGGTAGTCTTTGTGAGTGCTTAATGTTTGTGAGCTGGTTGTTCTGTCCTGACCTTGTTTCTTGTTCCTGAGTTCACGTTTCTGTAGTTAAAGTTTGTATGTTTAATAAATACTGCAAATGGGTCCTACTCTCTTGTTCACTTCAACCGGCCGTGACACCAGCACAGACACCAGCACAATATTGTTGGCTTATGATCCACACACCCACACACAGACACACACACACACACACACACACACACACACACACACACAGACACACACACACACACACACACACAGACACAGACACACACACAGACACACACAGACACACACACACACAGACACACAGACACACACACACACAGACACACACACACAGACACACACACAGACACACACACAGACACACACACAGACACACACACACAACAGGACAACAGTCCTTCTTTTATTCACGTCCCTCTACAACAGGGTCTTTAACTTCTGTCAGCCTAGTGACACTTAAAGTTCCTTCTTTAGAAAAATCATGGTATTTAATCAACCTTTCAATACCCTTCAAACTTTTTTTTCCCATATGCTTTTTTCATCGGACCAAACACCGGTTTATCATTTTTATCTTTTTTGCGCATTTTACTCTGAGATTTCCCCATGATGGTCCCTCTTTTCTGTGTTTTTTTCCGTGGCGCGCCTATATAACTCTAGACGTCTCTAGAGAGATCAATTTTCACCTCAATTGAAAAAGGTGAGCACTCACAACTTGCTCACAAATTTGATCAACCAGACCCTCGGGGTTTCCACCACTACACTACCGTGGATTAACTGAACTCACCAGACTAGTATCCCAGTACTAATCTGGACTGGTAATCTGTACTAGTCACCACAGTGTTCCTTTGACCATCATGAGTCAATCCCCCCAGGTACCTTTTAACAATTTAGACTTTGTCTCATACCAGTCTCAGCTTACGCCACTTCAGTTCTTTTTGTGATTCCAACTAGGGGCTAGTTGTCACACTTTATACTCCAGTGAATATTTCTTAGGGTGAGATTATTTTTGAAAGTTCAAGGGTTATTCACCCAAAAATGAAAAAATGGCCATTAAGTACTCATCCTCATGTCGTTCCAAACCCGTAAGACTTTTGTTGATCTTCAAAACACAAATGAAGATATTTTAAATTAAATCTGAGAGATTTCTGTCCCTCCATTGATAGTCTATGCTATTACTACTTTTACACTTAAAAAAGTTCATAAAGAGATTATAAAACTAATCCATATGAATCGAGAGGTTTAGTCCATATTTTCTGAAGAGACTCGATTGCTTTATATGATGAACAGATTAAATTGAGTTGCCACAATGTGTCTATTGTTGCTCTATGCTAAATAACAGATATAGAGGCTTCATTATGTATGTCAGTCTGCATGAATCTACTCTCAATTCCTGGTGTGTACAGGGACAGTGAAAAGAAAAGGTTTATTATGAGTGCGAACTCTGGCGATCATTCAGAGAGATATATATTCTTGGAGGAACTAGGAATCACAACAAGAAAGACGGACATATGGGTCCAAACACAAGTGGGCAATCTCACCTGCAATTCTAGCAAAATCTCAGTCATCCTTGAATGCTTGGGTAAGAACCAGTCTAAGCGATCCATTTTCTGACAGTTTATATGGTGGGATTCTAAAGTTGTTGCATGTTTCTAATAAATTGGTATATTAAATGGTAAATATGGCATATTATATTATATTATTATTTAAATGTATAGTTAATTTACATATTTTTTAGATAATTAGTTACATTATATATTATACATTTAATTGTAAATAAATAATTATATTATAACATAACATTTTGCATGGCATGTCGCCCCTAACGTGTCACTCTCGTGTTGTCAACAGTCAAATACAGTGCACCTCAGATTACCAGAATAAAAAGGTCTGCTGGAATCCTGTCTCTCAAACTGGACAAACCAAAGGATTACAAAAGTGTTAAATACGAGATCAGATGGAGGGAGAGAGGCTCCGAATGGCAGAATGTAAGACATTTCAGAAAATCTGATATTTTCATATCCTGAAGTGAATCTGTTATTTTGTTAACATGATGTGTTCTGCAATTATAGGCGACATTTGAAACTGAGGACAGCACTAGCCAAGGTTAGACTCCTTACTCTGTTTATAAAGTGTAGAAATAAGGTCGTCTGAATGATACATTGAATTGTCCTTTGCATTTATAAAAAAACAAACAAGTTAATTCAGTGTACTCTGAAAACATTCTGTAATTTTCAGAACTCAAGTTTTAATATTGTTAATAGGGCTGTTGAATGCTTGATTCTGATTGGTTGATGAACATTCTAAAGTGTGCAATTATTTTCCAGTAAACGTACAGCTAAAGTAGTTCCATACAGGCATTGACCGCATTACAGCTCCTTTTGACTTCGTTGAGTTATTTCAAAGGTCCTTACAGCCTACAGCTAGCCTGGCAAGCCGGACCTACATCAAGATGTTAGGTCTGGGAACTCACAATTGGCATACCTCAATCCGAGGGGCGGGATAAACGGCTGTCTTTCAATATCCCTCTGCACGCAATACGATAGCGCTACAACCAACCAGAGCAACGAACGGCTGTGGCTGAGTGAGTCCCATGCGTTTTCCCACCAGCGGAGCTAGTTGATATATTAAACTTTTGCCGTATCCGGTCGTCAAAACTCCAAACACATTTTCCTTTTTTAAGAATGACTTAAGTGACGTTCTCTTAACTCCAAGTCCTCCAGAGTCGCGGCCAAAGCCAATTTGAAAGACCGCTGTTCGCCAGCAGCATCTTGTTTGTTTTCAAGTAGCAGGGAAATCACCTACGGAAATCACGGCGCAGAACCGTCACAACTCTGCCGTCATTGTGTTAAGCCCGCCCACCAACTCTATACACGATGTGACTGGCCTGACCAGAGTTTGGTTTTTCCACTTCGAAAGCCAACGGAGAGTTGCTAGACCACACTGGCTGCAAAATAATTTTTGCTGCCGCTAGGGTGCATCTAGATTTCTAGGCTAGCCTACAGCAGCAAAAGAACCAAAATCCACAAAGACATTGACCAAGCAAAGAGATAAAACTCTCTTTGTTAACTGCCCTGAGACTTTATTAGTAAAATAGTTTTGCACCTGAAAAGCTATGACATTTCTCAGTTGCGAAGTAGTAATGTTGCTGTTCTTGAAGCAGTTAAACTTAAAGCTTCGCTATTATTAGCAAAGCCTATTTTTTAGAGCTTATTTTCTAGTAATTCAACTAAAGGTCAAGTCAAGTGCATTGGATTAAGTAATACATTGGATCATCCACTTCTGTACTGTATACTGCACATTTTGGTATATATAGTATGTAATAGGCCATAGAGATATTCTATTCAGGCAGGAAATAGTCATATGTGCACACTAAATAATGGTATTAAGAATAATATGGCAGCACTGTACGCTATTCCAAACACAGCTCATAAAAAACTAAAGATGAACAGTAAAATGTGGGAAAGTTTGTCAAAGGTGGATTTGTGTAGCACCTTCTACTCTGCAGTCTCTGATCCTTTGAGTCTTTAACACTTTTAGTGAAGTATCTATGACAAATACATTGAGGATGTTTACATCCATTCTTAAAGGTACAGAAACAAACAACGGCTCTAATGGTTATAGAAATGTTGGAAAAAAGTAATGAAAGGCGAAATTACTTTTAGTTATACTAAATACATTGTTATTGGTGTTGGGAAAAAATTATGATTATATATGACCCCTTTAAATGATTAGAGTCCAAAAGATAACAACTGACTGAGATAAATATATATGTCTATAGATTCCTACAAGCTACATCTACAGAAACAGACGATCTACCAAATCCAACTGAGGCGACAGGCCAAACTTCAGCCACGTATATGTAAAGACTCACTACAAACTCTCTGGAGTGACTGGAGCCCAGTGGTGGATGTTCCCTTAGGTTCGATTTCAGCTGTATCTGTCAATGAATGTTTGTAATAAGTGAAAGCATCTGAAAATATTTGGTTAACAGATGTAACACCTTTCTGCAGAAATCCGGCTCCCACTTGTAATATGCTGGTTAGAAAAAAAATGGACGAGTGGGACCAGGCATATTAATCTCACCTGGGATGTAAGTATAAGAAGAACAGAGGACATCAGAAATGTTTCTGTTTTTTGGTGTAAGATGAATTAAATTTGATTTGAATGATGCTCCAATGTGATTTTCTTTAGGAACCATCTGCTGAACAGTCTGTTGGGGGTGTAGAGTACAAGCTGAATGTCATAGTTTGGCCTTGTGAAAAACCCAAGAGAAAGGAAAAGCTAACTTTGAATCAAACCTTTAAAACCTCAATAACATATTCAGAGGCCAGGATTTCCATTATTGCAACTAACAAGGTTGGAAGTTCACCTCCACTGGAGATCGTCATTCCCGCTGTGAAACATCTGAGCAGTAAGTGTGCTGCAAGTGTGAACTGTGAGTGTGTTAGCTTGGGTTTTCATGTACTGTATGTAAATGAACGTCTGAGTGTGTGAGCTTACAGCAGGAAGCAAGTGAAAGGTGTGGGGGTTTTGGTGAAAGGGATCTTAAAGTGTTAAGACAAATTACTCATGTTACAAAAGGTTTGAAAAATCCAAGAAAAACCTTGAGAAAAATAAACTGTAAAATGGAAACTTTGAATTTCCAGATTGTGACAAGCCCTCGAATATCACCCAGGATTATCAAACCTGCTTAGAATGGTACAAGCTGGAAAACGGTGAGACCGGAACCAGTACAGTAAACAGCTCAGGCAAAAAATCATTCAAGGACATTGAAAAAGGTAGAGATAAGTCATTCATCCATTGTAGAGTACTATGTTCATGTTTCATATTAACATGTGCTGCGTATGCTAATTCGTGTCTCTGGTTTTAATCACAGGGGTGGAGAAGTTTGAACGTCATTATTACTTTCTTCATACCATGAGAAACAAACATCTTCATACTGTTGATATGTGTCCTTTTTACTCAGAACAGGGAGGTACGTTCAGACTAAGAATGTGGTGATAAGGTTCTGGGCCCGGTTCCCCGATAACGCTCACTCTTAGCGCGCTAAGAAGACTCGAAAGATATATCTTACCAAAGTTGTTTATGTTCCTAAGTGTGTTCCCCGAAGTGTCCCTTAGGAAGCGTTCGACGTTACAAAGACGCTGTCCCAAGTGAAGGTGCTGAATTAGTTGGCATCGATTGCTCAGGAATCGATTTTCCACTTCACGCGAAGGTGCATTACGGCGTTAAGAAAGACAACACGTTCTATGCAAATGAAACATTCCTCAAATTATTCCTGTAACATTTATTTTAACATAGTTTAAGTTATCAGTAAAATATAGACTTAATTAAATTATCAAATTGTCAGTAATATGTTCACACGATATGTTGTGACGGGTAGACGAACCGGGTATCCCTCACTAATCATCCACCCTCCTTATCCCGTTGTGCCACTTGTGCCGCTTCTTGACATGGGTTTAACGACTTCTAAAAATTATGTAATACACTTTTATATATTAATGGTAAGGTACTTTACAATCAGAATTGATTGGCAAGCAGCTGCAGTTACTTCTGTTTAATGCGGTATTGATTGCCATTGGTTAAAGGCTTAAGGGCTCAAAGCAAAATTCTGCCGCATTAGCCTGGCAAGCGCAGGTCTGAGAAGGTCCAGCTGCTCCATAATGAGTTGTCTTGGAGGCTAATTTTTTTTAATATAGCAACGTCAGGCAAAATGTGCCGAATAAAAAAATTGACATGGACTAAACGGCTCTGCGGCCGGCGCCGTCTTTGATTCAATACAAGGACACGTTGGATCGCTGCCATAGTTGGTCGCTTACTGGACACCACCATGCTTACCCATTTATAGATCTTAGCCATTTAGAGCCAAATTGTTTGCCAGATTTTAATTATCAAAAGTGATTGCCAATTTAAACGCTTTAATGACATTACGAAATAGCCTAGGCTAATTACCACCATATTAGTTCTGATACCAAATAAAGTCAACTTCATAAATAGGCCTGTATCTATTGCGAACATATTTTATTATTAGTCTTAAAATGTCCATAACATAAAATCATTGTTGAGCCACAACATTGTCAACATACCATAGTTTGATTTGTACTGCGCTGCGCTGATTTCTAAAGACTGCTGCACAGTGGCGGCGACTAGCGTCTTCAGCTCAAACAACGCTAAGAGAGAGCTTACGAATGGTCCAGACCAACCTTACGAAAGTGTGACTTACAGAAGATATACTTAGCGTACGAACGTGTCGGGAATTGTGCCATAAAGTTAAGAGAGAGGTTAAGGAATAGGTTAAGAACTACTTAGCGATAAGAACGTTTTGGGGAACCGGGCCCTGTCCATTATCGATAAGCTGATAACTTTTTATGTTATGACCAATAAATGGTCGATATTAAAATTTCGTACTATTTTGTCTAAATAAATTCTTGAAATAAAACACTAAAATATTAAATCAGTAAATGGTTCGAGTAAACCATTATAATGTAAAGTATTTTGAAATTTGATAAAAATTATATTTAACAGTGTGCTGTTAAATCATTAGTGTTTTCAAGATTATTTGAGGAACCCTCAAAAAAAAACTCAAAGGGAAAGGGTGATGGAAAAATTATGAGATAAGAGCGAAAATTATATTTCAATGCTTTTGCATTCGCTCACAAAACCTTCGCGTTCTTTCGCAAAACTTTTGTGTTCCCTTGAGAATCTTTGCGTTCGCTCACAAAACATTTGTTTGTTTGCGAACGCAAAGTTTCTCGAGGGAAAGCGATAGTTTTATGAGCAAACATAAAGATTCTTGGGGGAACGCAAACATTTTGCGAGTGATTGCAAAGTTTCTTGTGGGAACTCAAAACATTTGTGAGAAAACGCAAAAGCGCTGATATAATTTTCCCTCCAATCTCATATTTTTTAATCACCATGTCCCATCAGGGGCTCCGTAAATAACCGATATGGTACTGGTATGTCATGCATCCCTTGTTTAGTCTATTTAGGTTACTGAAACACGAAGACCACAATATAAGATATAATCCAGAATGATCTCTAATTTTCACAATGGAATGTTTGCATTTGTTTCAGCACCTATTAAAGGTCCAGGGAATGTGAATATTTCTAATGTGACGCATGAATCAGCCGTGGTCCGTTGGCTTTCCATTCCTGTGGCGGAGCAGCGAGGATTTCTACTGCATTATCTCATTTGGATTTCAGGACAGGGAAACACGAGTAAGGCGAAAGTTTGTAGTTTTACTGATCATTTATTTGCTATGAAACCTTTATGTCACAACTCTTTTTTTACTGGTATAGGCAACAAAATAATCTATTAAAAAACAAATTGTTTATAACACCGTTCCTCTTGCTTCAGCATTTCATGAAGTCCAAGCAAATGAAACCAGCTTCAAGATCAAGAACCTCCACCCAGGGGCCTCTTACACCGTTTCTATAGCCGGAGAAACAATGGCTGGTAAAGGGCCGAACTCAACGGTGAACTTTGAAACACACTCAGAAGAAATGGGTACTAAAACAGTCATTTCAGAATGAGAAATGATTATGCAGAACGGAAACCTACTGAGCCCCTAAAGGGAAATGGTGGTGGGAAAAATGTGGGATATAAATATTTTTTTTTTAAATCTTTTGCGTTTTCTCGCAAAACTTTTGTGTTCCCCGGAGAAACTTTGCGTTCCCTCGCAAAGATATTTGCGTTTTCTCGAAAGAACGCAAATATATTTGCGAGAGAACACAAAAGTTTTGCGAGAGAACACAAAAGTTTTGCGAGAGAACGCAAATATCTTTGCGAAAGAACACAAAAGTTTTGCGAGAGAACACAAAAGTTTTGCGAGAGAACGCAAATATCTTTGCGAAAGAACACAAAAGTTTTGCGAGAGAACAAAAGTTTTGCGAGAGAAGCAAGTTTTGCGAGAAAACGCAAATATCTTTGCGAGAGAACACAAAACTTTTGCAAGAGAACCAAGTTTTGCGAGAGAACGCAAATATCTTTGCGAGACAACACAAAACTTTTGCAAGAGAACCAAGTTTTGCGAGAGAACGCAAATATCTTTGCGAGACAACACAAAACTTTTGCGAGAGAACCAAGTTTTGCGAGAGAACGCAAATATCTTTGCGAGAGAACACAAAAGTTTTGCGAGAGAACACAAAAGTTTTGCGAGAGAACGCAAATATCTTTGCGAAAGAACACAAAAGTTTTGCGAGAGAACAAAAGTTTTACGAGAGAAGAAAGTTTTGCGAGAAAACGCAAATATCTTTGCGAGAAAACGCAAATATCTTTGCGAGAGAACACAAAACTTTTGCGAGAGAACCAAGTTTTGCGAGAGAACGCAAATATCTTTGCGAGAGAACACAAAAGTTTTGCGAGAGAACCAAGTTTTGCGAGGGAAAGCAAAGTTTCTTGGGGGAACGCAAAAGGTTTGCGAGAGAACACAAAAGTTTTGCGAGAGAACCAAGTTTTGCGAGAGAACCAAGTTTTGCGAGAGAACGCAAATATCTTTGCGAGAGAACACAAAAGTTTTGCGAGAGAACCAAGTGTTGCGAGAGAATGCAAATATATTTGCGAGAGAACACAAAAGGTTTGCGAGAGAACACAAGAGTTTTGCGAGAGAACCAAGTTTTGCGAGAGAACCAAGTTTTGCGAGAGAACCAAGTTTTGCGAGGGAACGCAAATATCTTTGCGAGAGAACACAAAAGTTTTGCGAGAGAATCAAGTTTTGCGAGGGAAAGCAAAGTTTCTTGGGGGAATGCAAAAGGTTTGCGAGAGAACGCAAAATATTTAAAAAATCCCATCCCAAATTTTTTCCACCACCATGTCCCTTAGGGGCTCCGTAGAAACCTTTATCTGCTTGTGTGTGAAGTAAACACAATGAGGTGTGAGAATATACCTGTCAACAGCAAATGTGTTCTGCCCTTTCATTCAGGCTTATCATGGCAGGACCAGACCATCCTGAGCGTCTGTGTGGTTGCCCTCTTGTGTACTATAATCTGCTCTGTTGCTGTCAGGAGGTGAGATTATCACAGATGAACTGACTGACCACCAAGATATGCTATTGTGTTATATTGTACATAACCTGTAGCTTTATTGGTAGAGCATAAAGCTAGCAAAACCAAGTTTGTGGTTTCGGGAGCACTGTTTTTAACTTTTTTTTAATCACGTTGAATCTTGAAATTTTTATAATCACATTGAACTTGAATCACATATTGTTTCGACACTTTTATTGTAATTTTGACTTTGTTCTCAAAATATTACAACTTTATTCTCGTCGTTATACCACGACTTTGACTTTATTCTCAAAATATTACAATTTACAATCTCGCTGCTTTTTTACAGAGGTAACCGGAGAAACGGATATATTTCTGCTGCTCCATAAGTGCCATCCAGAGATTGAATTTGCATTTTTATTCAGCACCTTTTTTTTTGTTCAGACCAATGCGAAGATCGACTAATGTTTTTACACGGCTTACAAGCAGTGTTGTAAAGGTTAACTGGTGGATTGATAAGAAGCTAATGTGCTTTCAAAAAATGTAAAATGATAAGGTATCTTGAATATTAGATATAGCCATATTTTAAATGAAAATGTATAATAGTTTCTAATTTTGACTCCTTCTCTTAAAAAAAATGGCTTAAAGGCTTAAATGTGAGGTTTTTATAAATCATATTTATATATATTTTTATAAAACTTGTTTTTGTCAAAACTTGTACCATATGAACTGTAAAGTAAATTGTCATTTTTATAGTCATTTTATGGTTTAGGATGTTATCGTAAACACTGATCTCCCCTCAATACAGTATTAATTTTATTTGCAGGTATTAAAAAAGTCTTCAAAGCCTTCAAATTTATTTTTAAAACCATGTACCTGTAAAAAAAAAAAAAAAAAACTACCGGTTAACAAATAATTTTAAATATTCTTTTTGCATGCATAACAATTACCTTATTCATATCATTTAATTGAATTGCAAAATTCATGTATTTAGTATTCTTTCTATATTTTCATGTTTTTTTTCAAGTTATGATTCATAAAAATAGAAAACTAAAACCAGTGTGAAATAAATGTTAAAATCAGGAATAAGGAGGCCAACATACTGAGATCACATGAACAGTCAAATATTACTCACTTTATATCTTTATATCACAATTAAATGAAAAATGATATTATTTAAAAAGTATAGCTTTCAGGGGGAAAAAAGTCTAATTTCTAATTTCTATTTTTAATGACAATTTCTAATTTTAATGACAGTTGTCTGATACAAAGTTACCATAGTTTAATGGTTGAGTTTGGAGGTAGATGGTTTTTTTTTTTTTTTTTTTGAAAGTTGTTCTTCTGTGTGTCTCTCTCTCTTGTTCTTTTCCCTCCCTGCTTAGTCAACATGTTCTGGGAGCTCTTTCATCAGATTTGTGTTAAAAAGGTTGACAGACATAGCAATGATGATGGAAAGGATACTCACAATAAAGGCTGTCTTTTATCAAGTCAAAATTAAAGAGTCAACATTGTAAATTTATTCAAAAATAGCTTTCAAAAAGTCCTCGTAAATTCCTTAAAAAAAAAAAAAACAGACAGTGGTAAAACAGTGTGATCAAATTTCCAAATAGCTTTTAACATCAATATCTCATTGCCATATAAGCCTGGTTATTCCAAACAAAAATAAATACAAATCTGAAACATCTATACCATAAAATCCATATATTTTTCCCTAATAAAAAATAACAAAAAAAAAAAGGTTACCACCAATGAAGTACAGCATACATTTGTGGAATAAGGTAAATGCATTTTCCATGTTGTCAACCAATATTTTTTTACGTGGCACCAAAACGTTTTGCAACACAAATACCTTTATTGACTTCATCAATTATCATCAATTTTGCATCTGCACTTTGCATTCCAAATGTAGATTTAAATGTGCTTTAAGTCCAGGGTTACAAGTGCACCTGAGCAGTGTCCTCAGAACAGTGTTGCACCAAAACGTGTACCCAAATAATCCACCATCCAGCCTTCCTCTCGTCTCTGAGAATAAACCAGAGTCTCATTAACACACATGATGCGGTTTCATTATCAACAGACACAGCAGAAATATTCTGAATATGACTCAATTAAACTTACATGGAACCAAAAGCAGACTGAGGCAAACAATCATGGCCAGTGTAACAGTACTTGTGGTGATTCCTTGGGCTCCGTTGTCATTGAGCTCAACATGAACTTGATGCTCATGGGGGTCCACGTCTTTGCACTTCGTGCTGATCAAATGACAAAAGAAAAACAAAAACATTTCAGCAACAAAATGCGGTAGTTTAGTCTCATCAGCACCAATAAATGTGCGGTAATGCAAGATTTTTCCAGGGTATTTTCACACCGCATGCTTTATTCTGATTTAGACATTTAACATGCTTTAATAAAACAAGAACTCTTCCAAGAGTGATGAAATGGAGTTCGAAGCGATGGAAGAGATGCTGTATGACTTACAGTTGCTTCTGTAAATATTGCTTGGTGGTCTCGCAGCCCTGTGTCTGTCTCTCTGCGGCAGTTTGGAGCTGTTTAGAAGCGAGGCGCAAAGCCTCACAAGATGCCAACTCCTGGGCCTTCAGGGTTAAATTGTGCTCCAGGGCTTCAATCTGGTCTGAAACGGTAATGGAAAAACTTGCTTCAGACATTACAACTCATAATGTTTTGTACTCAAATATTTTATGTAATGCCAATATGTAGCCTCTCACAATGTTAGCACTCCTCTTCAAACAATATGCCAAACATTCTTTGAAAAAAAAAAGTCCATTCTCTTATAAGGCAATGTCTAGGCACGGTGTAACTTATCAGTTTGTTTCTTAAAGTGGCCTTGGTGACGTCAGAGCACTATTTTGGACTGTAGCTGGCTGGAGTTGTTCGCTTGCTGCTTTGTCTCAAATTTGACACTGGTGTTAAAATTTGGCCTTGGTGTGAAACGTTCTAGACATCACACCTATCCTGTTTTGTGAAAAGGTTTTCCAAAGTCAACTAATCTTTTCCAGATAATCGCTTTATCAAGCGGGTAAAAGGGGCGAGCTAGGGCGATTTTTATCAGTGCAGTCTCTCTCGCTTTTGTATTCCCTGTTATTTTCATATCTCATGCATCCAGGAGTCGTTTCCTGCAGTTGTTTAGTAGGTCAGGAAATCCTTTAAAAATTAAACAATATTCTGGATTTGAAAATCTCAATATTAATTGTGATAAACAGGACTGTTCCCTGCTGACAAAAACAACCTTAGTTGGTTTTACGGTCTTAACAAATTTGTAATGGTCTAAGCTGGTTTGAGTTGATCTTAGCTTGCTTAAGATGGTCTAAGTTGGTTTATGGTGTTCTTAACTAGTTTAAGACGTTCTCCCAGCCTGGTCACTCTGGTTGTAGATAGTCCCACCCTGGTTTAGCTGGTCTAGATGTTCTACGAGTCAGGCCAAGTGGAGTTTTAGCTGTTTTTACTGGGTAGCCAACTGGTCTCCCAGTCTGACCAGCTAAAAACCACCCAACACATCAGTCTGGCCAGGCTGGGAGACCAGATAAAGCCAAAAAAATCAGCTTAGGCTGGATATAATGATATACCAATAATATCCCAAATAATACTAAAATAATGAGATACAAGGAGCAGCAAAAATCCTTTAAATTCTGTTATCCTGACACAATTGTATTGTAGAATACATGTACCTTTCAAACATTTGGGGCTTGTGATGGTTTTGTTTGTTTGTTTGTTTGTTTGTTTGAAAGAAATTATTATTTGTATTCAGCAATGATTCATTTATTTTAATTGATCAAACGTGACATTAAAGACTTTTACATTTTCACAAAAAAATCTGTTTCAAATAAATGATGTTCTTTTAAACGTTCTATTCATCAAAAAACATTAAGCAGCACAACTTTTGTTCATTATTATTTAACTGATAATAATTAGAAATGTATCTTGAGCACCAAATCAGCACGTTTAGAATAATTTAGACTGCTGCTGAAAATTCAGCTTTGCCATCAATTACATTTTAAAATATGTTAAAGTAGAAAAAGTTATTTATAATATTTCAAAATGACTTTTTTACTCTCTTTTTAATCAAATAAATGCAGTCTGGCCAGCATAAGAGAATTTTATCTTACTGACCCCAAGCCTTAGAAACAGCCGTGTAATTTTTACTTATATTGAACTTGACAACGTTTTCTGTGAATATAATACATAAATGCTCATTTTAACCCTAACGTTCAAAATAATTAATTGGTTTGAGTAGAGCCAACTCAAATTATACAATATTAGTTCCATCAAATTAACTTTTATGAGCATTTAGAACTTTATTTTTCTTTTGAGTTCACAAAACTGACACATTTTAAGTAAATTGAATTGTTTCATTGTTTTGAATTTTATGAACTTGTTTCTTTTAATTTAGATAAACTTAAATTTAACTGAAACTGGGCTGGGATTTCTATTTCCCAGCATGCTTTGCCATGACACTCAAAAGAGAGAGTAAATGCTAAAATTAAGTGTTATATTTTTGTGCCAGATTAATATTAAGTGACAGATTTAGTAGTTTAATGTTTTGTTATGCTAGTTTAGAAGAGTTTGCTGTTGGGTTTTTTGGTAGGTTACCATCATGGTGACGAGTGGAGCATGAGCTTGATTTGAGAACAGTGTATGATAAATGTTTTATATTGCTATGTTACCAATTAGCTAGGTAGTATTTATTTAATTAGCTGGTTAAAGCTAGCCAAGTTTCCACATCTAAAAATATTTAAACTAAAATTATATGATCATTTTAAATTGTGTGTGAATAAGCTTACTCAAATATTTCAAGTTAAGAGCGATTCAAATTTATGAGTATAAAATAAAAAGCTGCAAGTTCTGCTTACTTAAATGTTACATTTCTGAACTTAAGAAAATGTGTGTAACTGATAACCTCAAATTATTTGAGTTTTGAAAACTTATTCGTGTTTACAGTGTGTATATAAAAAGTAATCTGACCAAAAATAGAAGAGTTTTCTTGGAATGAAACCGCTAGTTGGCGCTCTTCATGTTATTATAACAGAATTCCATGTCACAAACAAGTCCTGCCTATTTGTTGTCTCTTCCAAGTTTCTATGGTTACATGGGAAAATTCATCTAAGAATATCGTCAGAGGGAGAGAGCGCTCCTTTCATGGCTCCTCTGATGAGAGGGAAAACTCTGACTTAAATTTTCCTACCTTTCTGCAGGCTGATTTCTGTAGTGAGGTTTCCCTCGATGAGTTTGTATTCCTCAATCTTGCTCTCCAAGATCGTAATGTTTCCATTCAGAATGACCTGTGGAGAAACAGAAGGTTAATTAAACACAAGTCCATAACCGGGGTGAGGTTTGGCCGTGGAGGTTCGCACTAAGACATAAAGGTGTGGCCGTCAGATCTCACGGGTGTGTGAGTGAACGCCACAACCTCCAAAGGTCAAAAACGGCATTTGACAAAACGTAGCCACAAAAAAATCTAGACAGAACCTCTTTTAATACAATACAACGCCCTTAAATAAAAAAAAAAAAAAATTTTGGAAGAAACATAATAGGCCCAGAGACAATGTGAACATTATCAGGAGAGTTTTTCCAGGAAGGGCTATGATTGATATCATGGTCCCACATTGGTTTGATTTGTTAGATATTTGCATAACTATTCAGATTTAACTCGACCTAAACTGTTCACAACTTCCCGTTAGGGCTCGTTATGCAAAGCAAAACCTGTTTCATGTCTGAGTTTCATAAACTGTTCAAAAATGAAACTTAAAGGCATGTTTTTTTTTTTCAGAGTAAAACATATCTGGGTGTCATTACCCGCGATCTGTTATCGTACTGAGGTTTAAGCTAGAAGAAACAGCCTGTGAACCAAAATAAGAAGATGAACTCACATTTTCTTGCAGGCTGACGTTCAAAGAGATATTCAGAATCTGTATTTGCTCCTTGTACTGGTCGATTTGCTTCAGTAGGGCAGTCTGGTTCCTCCATCCCTGTCTCACCAGCTCTTCAAGGGCTTTTCGGTCTTTGCTCCACACGACTCTTGCCCCTTCATGCCTCTCCGTTAGGGCTTGCATCTCCTTGCGACACTGACTGGCTCCTTTCATGTCAGGCGAGGTGGCCCAAACCACAATAATGATAAGCGAGATGATCGACCACAGGGCCAGGCAGGCGATCACAATGTTACGAGTATTCTGAGAAGATTTGGAGCTTGCCATCCTGAGGCACGCAGTCGCTTTCAGGTTGGAGATGTCCGTAAAGAGTGAGCTGGTTGGTGTGAGCCCAGCGAAGACTCTCTGCTGAGTGAAATGAAACTTTTAAAGTGTGGGTTTCCCCTCCAAGCTCAGCTCAGGAAAGGGGAGTGGCTCTGCTCCTCCCGGTGATGGGACCTGCCGTCCAGTTCCTCAGCACTCCAAACACACAGCTTGCTGCAACGGGACATCAGATGGAGGTTATCCTCGCCGTTGGGAAAAACCAAAAGTCTCCTCCCTCCGGTTTTTACTGAAAGAGCGTGTTTCAGTTTCCATTCCTCTGTTCGTGGGAGTGTCTTGGCAGAGCAGGGTTTTTTTTTTGTAAACATTTTTTAAGAGGCTCTGTGCAGGAGCAACTCAGTGTTTCCTGAACTTTTGCCAAGCACGGAGTGTCCATGCCCCTTTTGGTCACACGGACACACACATAGAGCAGCTTTTAGGAGTTAAGTGGGTAGGACTTTATTTTATAGTCCTGTTCCCCATGTACATACTATGTACTTAGTTATTTCAATAACTGGGTAATAACTAGGTATTAACCTTTAACCTACTCTTATAACCTTAACCCATTACCTTATATATTAACCACTTTCTTAGGTAAGAACTCTGTAAGTACACATGAAATCATCTATTTATCTCTAGATAATATCTGTGGCTCACTTCTCTTTATAAAGATATATATGGTAACACTTTACAATAAGGTTTCATTTGTTAATGTATCAACTAACATGAACTTACTATGAGCAATACATTTGTTACTGTATTTGTAAATCTTTGTTAACGTTATACGGCTGTTCACTGCTTGTTCAGGTTAGTTCACAGTGCATTAACTAATGTTAACAAGTACAACTTGATTTTAATAATGTATTAGTAAATGTTGAAATGAACATTAACAAATTAATATGCAGTGTGCTGTAGAAGTGCAGTTTATTATTAGTTCATGTTAACTTATGTAGTTAACTAATGTTAATAATGAAACCTTACTGTAAAGTGTTACCATCTATATATACTGTATATATGTATTGAATCTTCATAGACTGCACATAAGTGTCCTCTGCTCATTAAAGAGCAGTAGTTTTGAGCAGTGCGTGCTGGTTTGAGTTAGAACAGACCTTCGAAATTCTGCTGGTCAATGTTTCCTGCGAGTGATGAGTCATCAGTTGGGGGGTGATTACATAATGCTGAAGGGTGGCGGCTGTTTCCATGGGCCACGGCCCCCCTTGCATTGGATTCCTGTGTTTGAATTATGAACTTTTGCAAGATTCGGGAGCATTTTGAAATAGATTTTGTCAGAAGATTAATAGCATCTGGTGGTTTTGCACAGTTCTGGTGGTGGAAGATTATTTATTGTGTCGTGTCATTCACCCATCCATTTTCCAAACCCCTTGTTATAGGAGGGTCGTGGTTATTCCTTATTTAATTTAATGAAATAAATGTAAACATTTTATAATGTACTAAAGATAAAGTATTAATAGCCTCGTATTTGATACACAAGTTCCTAAAGCCTTATCAACTAAATGTACATTTTTATATCTCTCAATCACTATTGCATTGAATTATAAAGGTTCAATAAACTGCTCCATTTCAAAAAATATATATTTATATTTCATACGGCTTTACAGGGTAAATATATCGAAAGTTGGCAGTCTCTTAACATCCAGCAGGTTTTCCACATTATTCTTTGTCAAGATGTACCGTTTGTCGTGAACCCAGCCAGCAATAACAAAGCTCTCTGACAAGCATTTTGCACCAGTGCTCTGACTCACTCACTAACCTAATGACTTTGAGCTCCAACAGATCTCTAGATCTCCATTTGTGACTATTCTGGGCAGGAAATATCAGGTTCAGATTCCAGATTGAGAAACCAAAAGTTACTTTTATGTACACACAATCTTATTTAATGTTCTGTTAATAATTATTAACTGAGATGATGAGAAATACAACAACTGCTTCATTCACAGTAAGACAGATAAGGCAGAAAGCATGTAACAGTTTTACACTAGTACCAGGTTGTGTGTGTTTGTATCTCTCATTTTTTTAATACTGTTTCTGATCAGTGATCAAATAACTGGTGCCATAAAACTTGACAGACTCTGATATATGTATTGCTAGTATTGTTTATGTAAGGAAATGTCATGGATGATAGAAATGTCCTATAATGTGACTATCAAAATGATCAACTAAATTAACAATATTTAAAATTCTTGAATAATACATTAATGAAATCATATTCATTTAGACACATGGAACATTTGTACTTTTAAAAATTAATTTGTCACATTACAGGACTATTTAAGTGAACTGCAATAAAGCTAAATTATGTATAAGCCGGATCTAAAATGTTGTTGACTTGAAATGATCCAGGCTTAATGTAAATTTGATGTAAACAACAACTGATGATAGTTGATATGTTGACAGCAACAAGGTCGTGCTTGTTTACAGTTGAGAGAGATGCACGTGCTTGTGTGTGTGTGTGTGTGTGTGTGTGTGTGTGTGTGTGTGTGTGTGTGTGTGTGTACCTAATTAACTATATTTTGGGGACAATTTTGTAACCAGAAGTGACCAAAACATGACAAAATCCCTTCGGGGACGTCCTCATTTATAAATCATTGTATAATTATAAAATAATTAAAGTTTTTTTTTTTATGTAAAAATGCAGAAAGTTTGGTGTGATGGGTGTAAGGGGAGAGAAAATACAGTTTGTACAGTAAAAACCATTAAGTCTATTGAATGTACCCATTTTGATGGAAATGTGTGTGTGCACGCATAAATCCTTGTAAATCCTAAATTATGGGGACAATGTAAATAGGCTTATGTGTGTGTGTGGACAGACTCGTAGAAATCCAAACAAACACAAATATGCAGTTGTTGTTGATCGCTTTGGTACTATAATAATAATTAATAATAATAAACTTTTTTCTATACCGCCTTCAAAGGTTACATCAGAAAGTGCTTCACAAAAACTCAAAGTACATTCAGATATACAATACAAAAATGAAAACATGTTATCAAACAATTCAATAAGTAAATCTTAGAGAGAGAAGTAAGAGAGAGAAGTAGTCAAATAAATCAAATAATATACCCTAAATACGTTTTGAGGGAGGATTTAAAAATTCTAAGAGATTTCGCTTTCCTGATCTCAGAGGGCAGAAAGTTCCATAGTGTTTGAGCAAATGAAGAGAAAGTCTTATCACCCATAAATCTTAAACGAGTTGGCGGGACAGTTAAAAGACCAGCTTCAGAGGAGCGGAGATCACGCGTTGGTATGTAGAGGATTAAGAGTTCTGACAAATATTGAGGAGCCAAACCATGCAAAGCCTTGGTAAGTAAGAGAATTTTAAAATCAACACGAAACCTGACAGGGAGCCAGTGTAAGGACTCCAAAATAGGAGTGATATGATCCGTTGTCCTGGTCCTAGTCAGGATTCTGACAGCAGAATTTTTAACAAACTGTAATTTGTTTAGAGTAGCTATTGAAACCCCCGCGAGTAGAGCATTGCAATAATCCATGCGAGAAAATACAAAAATGTTAATTCACTTTTCAGCCACTGGAAATGACAACATAGGATGTAGTCTGGCAATGTTTCTAAGATGAAAAAAAAAAAACATGTTTTGACAGTATTCTGGACATAGGGATCAAATGTTAAATTAGGATCAAATGTTAAATTATCACCCCCAAATATTTTAATTTTCTTTGAAATTCTAAAACAGAGCCATCCACATTTAAATTTATGACCCAACTTTACGTAGGGGGGTTGAACCAATGAGCATGACCTCAAGTCTTGTCACGGTTAAGACAAAGAAAAATTCGAGACACCCATTTTTTTATCTCAGAAATACATTGAGACAGAAAGGCAACAGCCACATTATTATCAGGTTTTGAATGTATGTAAATCTGGGTGTCATCTGCATAAAAATGAAAGACCAAGTGATTTTAAAAGATGACCAAGTGGAAAAATTTAGATGCAAAAGAGTAAAGGGCCCAAAATTGATCCCTGAGGAACACCTGACTGCATCACAGCAGCCTCAGACCTGCAACCACCCATAGCAACAAACTGCTTTCGATCTGAAAGGTAGGACTTAGACCAGTTTAGTGCAGTATCAGAAACTCTGCAAGTTATCAAAAATGTTGGGGGGTTTTTTCAAACATGTAATCACATGTTCAATTGATTAAGAATAACATACAAAATGATACATTAACTTTTTCACCACACCTTATCAATGTGTCATCAAAGAAATACCTTTCATATTAAGTACCTGTTCAGCAACACTGACAATTTCTTTCAACATGGAGCAGGATAGACATCAAGGAATAGGCAAGGCAAGTTTATTTATATAACACATTTCATACACAATGGTAATTCAAAGTGCTTTACATAGAAGAAATTAAAATAATCAAAAGAAATAAAAATAGTTAAAACAGTTTAGAGTAAAAAATTAAATAAAATACAGTACAAACAGTCAGACGAATAGTGGCACAGTGCTCATTCAGTAAATGCATAGCTAAATAGATGTGTTTTGAGTCTGGATTTGAATGTGACTACTGTAGGAGCACATCTGATCTCCTCTGGAAGCTGGTTCCAGCTGCGGCTGGCATAATAGCTAAAAGCAGACTCTCCATGCTTAAAGTGAACCCTTGGTATTTCTAGCTGATATGATCCTAATGATCTGAGTGATCTGTTAGGTTTATATTCAGTGAGCATATCTGCAATATATTGAGGTCCTAGCCCATTGAATAATTTATATACCAGTAATAATACTTTAAAAGCAATCCTAAATGTAACTGGGAACCAGTGTAACACCAGGACTGGTGTGATATGTTCATATTTTCTGGTTCTGCTCAGGATCCTGGCAGCAGCGTTCTGTATGAGCTGCAACTGTCTTATGGTCTTTTTAGGAAGGCCAGTGAGGAGTCCATTACAATCCACCCTGCTGGTGATGAAAGCATGCACAAGTTTCTCTAAGTCTTGACTGGAAACAAAGCATCTAATTCTTGCAATATTTTTCAGATAATAGTATGCTGATTTAGTTATTGCTTTGACATGACTACTGAAACTAAGGTCTGACTCTAGAGACACACCAAGATTCCTGACTTGATTTTTAGTTGTTTGACCCCGTGAGTGAAGGTATGCATTCACCTTGAGAACTTCATCTTTGTTTCCAAACGCAATGACTTCAGGTTTGTCTTTGTTTAACTGAAGAATGTTTTGGCACATCCAACTGTTTACTTCATCAATGCATTGGCACAGGGAGTCAATGTGGCTGTAGTCGTTAGGCCATTATGCTAAGTAGAGCTGTGTGTCGTCTGCTGTGGTAGGCAGTTTGGTTCTTTCTCATTATTTGGCTCATTGGGAGCATATACAGGTTGAACAGGAGTGGCGCAAGAGTAGTACCAGTAATGATAATTTGCCTGTATCAGTATTTAAGCAAATATTGTTTATTATCTTTATGAGTGCTGTCTCTGTGCTGTGATGCGATCGGAAACCAGATTGAAAATTGTCAAAGTATCCATTCGAGCTTAAGAATTTGTTCAGCTGATTGAAGACAACTTTTTCAATGATCTTGCCTATGAAAGGAAGATTTGAGATCGGCCTATAGTTGCTTAATATGGTCTTATCCAGATTGCTCTTTTTCAGGAGGGGCTTGACAACTGCAGTTGAACTAAGCTGTTGAACACACTTTTGAAAAAAGATGTGGGAAGTGCGTCAAGGGCGCAGGTTGATGTTTTAAGGTGATGTACGGTTTCTTCCAAAATTTTGCCATCAATTTCTTCGAAATCAGACATAGTAACAACTTTCTCAGGTTGTGGTCTGATCTGTCTGACCCTAGCGCAACTCAAGGATGAGCTGATCACCATTCTGATATTATTGATTTTCTCAGAGAAGAAAGAAGCAAACTCACTGCACTTGCCGTCTGAGAGCATTTCACTGGGAATCTGGCTTGGGGGGTTTGTCAGACTCTCTACAGTAGCAAAAGGAGTGTGTGTGTTGTTTAAGTTGCTGTTTATAATATTCGAGAAGAAAGTCTGTCTAGCTTTGCCTAGTTCCATATTGAAAGCATGGATGCTGTCTTTGTAGATGCTATAATGGACTACAAGTTTTGTCTTCCGCCACATGCGCTCTGCTTTTCTGCATTGTCTTTTCATATTTTGCACTGAATAGGAAGAGCTAGTGGACAAGGGATCCGTCAGAGAAGTGGGCATGGGCACCAACAGAGAGGTCAGAGAAGTGGGCATGGGTACCAACAGAGAGGTGGGCATGGGATGATGGGGCCAGTCGAAGGGTTGGTCATCAGAGAGAGGGAGGCAGAACTGTTGTCTCTAATGAAGTCCGGGTCATCATCGTTGATCGCGTGGTGAACCGAGGCCTTAGATGGCAGAGGCTTCTAGATTACTTGATCCAAATCTAAAAAGATCAACTGCCAATTCTATAATCCGAACTTTTCCCCAGAAAACTGGTAAGTGTGGAGGATATATACTATGCTTTACCATTACATTTACAGTAAATTGTAATGCATGTACAGTATATTCATCAAACGTTACAGTATTCTTACAGTTTGATCTGTTGACAGTATACTCTGTTCTATGCTTAGAATTGACAGAAAACCCCATAGTGGTGGTTGCCGTGTGCTGACCGACCAGCAGGAGTGGGCAGTGGTGGAAATGGTGAGGGCCAGGAATGATATGAGCTTTTTGGAAATAAAGCAGGCAATCGAGGAGAACACTGACACCTTTGCCAGTATGGCATCCATCAGCCTACCAACAGTTGCACGCCTTTTGAGAGAAACAATGACAGGGTGAAACAACAGAGGGCTGAGATGTTCAGGTACAACACTATATACTGTATTACAGTTACTGTTTGATGCATCTCCTACTTCATTTGTGTATTGGAACTACACTGTAAAAAGAACTAACTGAAATATATTTTTCAGAGGGTGATGGTGCTTGAAGCTGACGTGAACCATGACAAGTACATTTTTGTTGATGAAGTGAGCTTTAACCTGGCCAAATGTGGAGGAAACATCTCTATGTGCACAGCTTTCTCTGAAGATGGTGTGGTAGGACGTAGGCCACTACTTGGCTCCTATAACGCTGCACATCTCATTGAGTTTCTCAATGAAGTTGAGCCGGCCTGTCAAGGTGAAGAGGTCACCTATGTAATTTGTGTGGGGCAATGTCAGGTTCCACCATGCAGAGTTGGTTCAAGCATGGTTTCAGGCCCATCCCCGATTCATGACCCTCTATCTGCCCCCATACTCTCCTTTCCTCAACCCTATTGAGGATTTTTTTTCAGCATGGAGGTGGAAGGTCTATGATCGCCATCCCCTTGAGCGTGCCCCCAACCCCTTGAAATGTGCTATGTATGAAGTGTGTGTTGCAGGAACCCCTGTTGTTAGATGCTGGAACTACACCACCTGACGGCAAAAAGCACGTTCCTCCACAGACATTCAAAAGCAACCTAATATTGTTTCCCAAAAAAAAACAGGAGTTTAGTTACATTATGAAAACCATGACAATATTTCTTATTCATATTTATGTTATTACATCTTGTTTATTTTATACCAAAATAACCTATGATTGGATGCACAACCCTTATTCAAAAGTAAAAGATACTGCATAAGAAGTGTTTATCATCACTTTTAAAAGTTAATAAGCCCATTTATTTGCCTTCAAACTATGCATGATTGTATTGCCTTATTTTTATTTGCATGTATCATTTTGGGGTCATGACCCAGTTGAGAACCACTGCATTAGATAGGCCCTATAAAGGTTTGTGACTCTGTTATGATTTTAATTTGTACGGAGAGATTCACACATCTAACACAAGGCAGATATTGACATGCGCTGAACCTCCCTTCAGCGGGTTCATTTCTCCTGAGAGACTCTTAAGACTGTAAGGACTGAACTCACCATCCTACAGGAAGTGGCATCATACAGACAGCCACATTTCAACAGTTCTCGTCTAACTTCACTTATATATATGATAAAACAATGGATCTTCAAACAAGCAACATAAAGCTGTTTTCACTTCTGTCTCTTGCACTGCACTGTAAGTGTTTCAAGATCCTATCTTCTCCTCAAATATATTTAGTTTGTTATTTCATGTTTAAATAAATATATTGTTTTTTGTTCATTTTGTATTATTTGTGCTGCTCTTTTAATAATTGTACAATGTTAATGAACAAAAAACAATTATTAAAACAATATAACAATATTGAGAACATTCATGCTCATCTAATTGTATTATTTACACTTTGACTATATAAATATTTAAGTGTGCATGTAATTTCAGGCTTTTTCTGGAAGACTTCTTTGAACGTCTCTGTGCTGCAAGGTCAAAATGTCACACTGAGCTGCCCACTGATGCCCAACAGCAGCCAGGGGGTTTTGAGCTGGTACAAACAGACCCCCGGGCAGGGGCCAGAGTTGATCCTCTCCTACAATGTGACCAACACTTCACAGGTGCGCTACGGCACGCGACTGGACCAGAGCAGATATGCCATCTTAACCAGGGAAGGGTTAAAGCTCCGTCACCTCTTACAAATCATCACAACTTTGCGTAATGACACTGGCACTTATTATTGCGGGTTTTCAGACAAAAACCATACGCAAATATTTTACAATTGAACACAAATGCTTGAATATTCAACAATATTATTGATCTGACTGTACTGACGCTGTTGTGTGAGAACTGAGCTGGACAATGACATCTTTTATTTGCAGAACTTTAAAGATTAAATGAACTAATGTAATAATTGATGATCTTTACAACGGAACTGATTCAACACTGAACTGGCTTCAGCTGGCCAACAGCCGAAATGTATTATTTTTCCTGTTATCACTGCTGCTTTGAAACAATCTGTTTTAAATAAAGGTGACTTAACTTGGCTTAAATGCTGTATATTGTATTTTCGATTTTTTATCTTAAATGCATCTCTGTGCAAATTAACTTTACAGTATTTATGGGGGGAAATAAACATGGATTTTTACACTATTTCAGGCATTCTATTTCCATTATGAAAGCTGTCTTTTCAATGCTGAAATATTTCTGGCTTGCATTGCAAAACCTGCTAACTTTGTTCTAATTGGATTAGTTGGATCCCAGGAGATCAGAAGTGCAGAAGCGCTGCTGTGTTGTGATAGAGCATGCATCTGTCTCTGCCAGTAAACCAACGGCTCTTTCCTGTTTTTGTGTCCCTCTTAACCGAATAACAGTCAAATATGTTTTTAACATACAGCTACTCTGCATATCACATCAAAGAAAAAACAATATTCCCATATCAGGTTTACCATGCAAAAAAAGGCTTAATAAAACATAATAGCAAGTGTCCACTATATCTTTTTGCACTTTAGAAAATGTTTACATTTAAGCAAAAAGAACTAATATATACAGTATATGTATATGTATATATATACAGTTGTAATCTAAATTATTCAACCCCCTCCCCATTGCAAATCAAGTTTATTGGCAAAATTTACAGACTTTCAGCTGTTTGCAATGAACAAATCAAATAACAAAAAAAAAGCTCAACACAACAAATGTTTCAAGTGGTTTCACCAAATTCAACTGAAACTTCTTTAACTTGACTTCTGCAGTCTCAAAATTATTCAACCCCTTCATGACAAGCATTTTTAGTACTTAGAACACCCTTTTGCTGTTATGGGTTATGCTGTAAACGAGATGTATAACCAGACAGCAGCTTCTGGCAGCGTTTCTGAGGAATATGGATGAGCAATGGCCTCCAGTTCAGTAATATTCTTGGGTTTGCGTGCTGCAACTGCCTTCTTCAAATCCCACCCGAGATTTTCTATGAGGTTCAAGTCAGGTGAGTGTGATGGCCACTGTAGGATCTTCCAGGACTTCTTCTGCAACCAAGCCTTGATGGAATTTGAGGTATGCTTGGGATCATTGTCCTGAAGGTCCAATGACACCCAAGCTTCAGCTTCCTCACTGTGACGGCATGACGTTTTCTCCTAGGATTTCCTGATACTTCAATGAATCCATCTTGCCTTCCACACACTGCAGGTTTCCAGTGCCAGAGGATGCAAAGCAGCCCCAGAGCATCACCGAGCCCCACCAATCTTAACTGTAGACAGAGTGTACATTTCAGCATATCCTTCATTCTTCTTCCTCCAGACATACCGCTGATCCATAGGGCCAAAAAGTTCCAGTTTTGTTTTTCATCGCTCCCCAGAACAGAATCCAAAAACTTCTGTGGCTTGTTTATATGATTTTGAGCACTTTTCTTGTGCCTTTGGGTCAGTTGTGGTGTACGTCTTGGAGTTCTGGCATGTGTTCAGTACGCGCCTTACTGTGCAGCTGAAACCGCAGTGCCTGTGCCCACCAAGTCTTACTACAGGTCTTTTGCAGTCACTCAAGGGTTTTTCTGAACCTGCCTTCACAGGAACTGGTTGCAGCCGTTGATAGCTTCCTTTTCTACCCCGTCCAGGTAGTGTAACCACTGTTCTTTTAACTTTGAACTTGTGAACTATGCTTCCAACGGTGTCTCTAGGAATATTTGGTGCCTTCGCTATATTTTTTGTATCCTGTTCCTTGTTTGTGAAGGGCAATGATATCTTCTCTTAACTTTTTGGACCATTCTTTTGAGCCATATTTACAACATGCAGTCACACGTGACACTCAACAAATAGCCAGTTCAGATATTTCATGTGTTCTAGCTCAAGCACACCTTGTGCAACTAATGAAGCCCTTGATTAGTTGCATCAGGTGTGCATGAGACAACACCTGTTTTGCAGATTTGTGCTGTTGTGAGGGATTCTATTCAGAGCGTTGAATAATTTTGAGATTGCAAAAGTCATTGCAAGTTGTGGAAACCACTTGAAACATTTGTTGTGTTGAGCTATTTCAATTACTTTTGTTTGATTTGTTCATTGCAAACAGCCGAAAGTCTGTAAATGTTGCCAATAAACATGATTTGCAATGGGTGTTGAATAATTTCAAGAGAAAAAAACTGTGTGTGCACTTGGATCTTTGTACTAACCCTGACACAAGTGGCATGATTGATGAAATATAAATGATTAAGTGTGATTTTCAAAAAGTGAAAGATATGATTGCATAAAATAAAACAGCATAAAATAACATACACTCTAAAAATGCTGGGTTGTTTTAACCCAACTTTGGGTCAAATATGGACAAAACCAAACGTTGGGTTAAAATGTAATTAAAAAATGTAACCCAACAGCTGAGTTTGTCCATAATTGACCCAAAGTTGGGTTAAAAAAACCCAGCATTTTTTAGAGTGTACCCCATAATGGCTATTATTGTTAACTGAAATAAATTTATATCATCCCAGCATGCTAAGGCAACAAAATGAATAAATACTACATAGAAATAAAGTAAGAAGTAAAGTAAGTAATTCCCTGAAACCCAATTCATTTAGCCTGTGAAGAATTCAGCTGTGTAATGGTTGATTGCTTTTAAATGGACCATCTGCACACGACATCTGAGCACATGGGACGTTCTTCCCTCAACCGTCAACCTCTGTGTCAACTTTATAAGAGCCAACACTGAAACAAATCAAGCTTCACTGGCTCTAGCGGGAAATCACACAGCAGCAGCACACAGCAAATATGATACAAAAAGAAACAAATGAAACAAAACAGAAATGAATTTAAATGGAAAGGCATCGGGTGTGATTATCATAATTATCTCTCTTCTTCTGTTACGGTGAGATTTTAAAGGCAAAAATCAATTAAATCGTTCAACGTCTTGATCATGTGGCTCATAGCAGCTTTTCTATTACAGCACTGCCTCAGCCGAGAAGGACGAAATGAACCAGATGTTTAGCAGAGGACTTCGACTTCTTGTGGAGGGTAAGATGTGCTTTCAGCTATTACATATCTAAATGTAGCTTTGCTCCTGGTTGCTCATTTCATTCTAATCATACATCATCTTATTGATATGTGTTTTAGCTCCACATGTCCGTGTTGATCGCCTGGCGACTCCGAAGGTGCTTGTTCTTCTGCCTGCTGGAGTTCAGAAGCAGCGCTCGGAGAGAGTGACACTTGCGTGTGTCATCACCGGGTTACGGTCTAAAGCGGTGAGGATCACGTGGAAGGTGAACGGAGAAACAGGCCTAAAAAAATACGCCAGCTCTCCACAAGTGCACAGAGAGCATGGAGGAACGTTCTCTGCTGTGGGACTGTACACGGTTCTCGCTCATAAATGTCATGAGAATATGTACAGGTGTGAGGTGACATACAAAGGACCATTTTACTATGATAAGGTAGAGTCGTCCCTCTGCAGACCTCTGTAAATTGCATGAGAATGAGATCCATCCGCTGCATATTCCACTGAAATATCAAAAGGGGGAAACGATAATAAAAAATAAAAAAAAATTCTTGAACAAAAAATGTGAAGCCTGTTTTTATATGAATTCAGATTTTCCATTTTGCTTCCAAATTCTCATTATAGCTGATGCATTTGGATGTTTTCCTTGTGTAGTTCACGTTAGGGTAAGACACGTCAGACACATTTTTCTGCTTTTATGTGATGTAAATCATGAAAACTGTATATACCTTTTGTTTTGTTATGCACCTCTTTTTTTGGTTAGATAGACACATTTTTCTGGTTTTATGTGACGCAAACAAAATATGACTGTTTATTATAAAAAATAATTTTCTTTGAACAAATTCATTGTTGTATCCTTTAAATTGCATTTAAAATGCATACATTATTTCTTTCTTTCTTTTTTGCATCTCTTCGTTGGTTAGCCAGACACATTTTTATGCTTTTATGTGATGTAAACAAAATATGACTGTTTATTATAAAATAGAATAAAAGTCTTTAAGCAAATTATTATTATCCTTTAAATTACCATTACAAATGTATATAATTGTTTGGCTTGGTTTTGTTTTGCACCTCTTTGGTTAGCCAAATTTTTTTGCTTTTATGTGATGCAAATCATGCATGAAAACTATATTTGTTTTTTGGTGTTTGGCTTTGTTTGCACCTCTTCTTTTGTTAGCATTTTTTCTGCTTTTAGTTTATTTTAATATGCGAGTTAGACATGAAGCATTTTTTCTGCTTTTATGTGATCCAAACAAAATAGGACTGTTTATATTATATTTATATAGTTTATTATAAAACTAATTTTTTAGAAAATTATTATTAATATTGTTGTTGTTTTTGTATTGTTTTTATGTGATACACACAAAACATGAGTGTTTATTATAGAGTTCAATATTTAAGCATTCAGTCCTACCCATTTATTAATTTGCAGACAACAATGTGACTGAAAAATCACAAGGGGGCGCTAAAGGTTTAAAGTAAGACCTGTTTACTGAAAACCTGAGTAAAGGTCATGAGAAGGGCAGTACAGACAGACACAGACGATTAACTTTCAGTAACAGTTGGCATGACACTTGTTCTGTTCTCTTATTTATTAAAAATGCTGCATGTCTGGAATATTAAAATAAACGAATTAAATAAAAAAATAAACAGGCTTAATCAGTTTTTCTTTTGACTCCAATAGCAAATGGCAAAAATATATATATATATATATAAAGCTGGAAAATTAAACTCGTGCTCAGCGCAATATGTTACAAAAAAACACCTTGTCCCAGCATCAATTTGATAAATGAATGCATCATTGTCTTATACACATGTAGCATATGGGGTTGAGGAATCCCATAGGAATGAATTAAGGCCAAACTTCTCATATCCTATGGAGTTTGATCGGGTGAGTAGGGCGACAGTTCTTCTGAGTATGCAGCTATAGACAGTTCTGCTGACTACACTGAAGTGTGACACGACTCGTGCGCACATGGAGACTTGAGTACCGGGCACTCCACATGAATCATAAACATATGAGTCTATTAAAAGTTGCAAACTTTTTCTTTTACTTTGAGCATGTGGATAAAAGTGAATTAATCTCTACCAAATTTTTTTTTTTTTTTTACATCAGTTACGTGCTGCTGTGTGCACGTGTTTGTTTTTGAGTGTTTTTTACAGTCCACACAGGGAAATCCTTACTGTACAAACTGTACAAACTAGGACATGGTTTAAATATTTGCATGGCCTCAGGAACAATAGCCTACCTTCTGGTACTTGTTTACAGTCTAACTGACTAATCTACAGACCATCAATGGCCTTTCAGAAATGTTGCCTGAGCAGTGGAGACTCAGCAGTGTGTAGCAGAGGTCCTGTTAAACAGGTTCATCTCTCTGAATGAGGGACAGGCCTCAACGTGCCTCGCAGGTGAAACCTGGTTAACCAACAGATTCAATCTGACCTAGTTACACCAAATCATTCTTTATTTCAACATCACCATGTCAAACAGAAACATGTTTAGAAATGGAATGACAAAAACATGATTTTTCGAATCATGCGAACCAGCAATACACTGCAAAAGTGGCTGTTTAATATTTATTTTATACACAGACTCAAATCTCAAGTTGACAGTTTAACAGTTGAGCCCAAGCCTCCGTTACTAAAACGTCACTTTAGAACTAGTAACGAAGGAAAGGAACGTTGAATCGCTTTGACGCTTATGTAAAGTAAAGTTGAGTTATGTTATTATGAGAGAGGGATTGACTAAACGACTGTATTACCTGCATCTGATATGGCATTCATTCTTCAGGTCGATGCCAGCGTGACATTACTGTATGACATGGTTGTGAGGACGTCGTGGGAAAGTTCCATTGTTTTAGAATCTTGGCTAACGTTCCAGAAACGTCGTGGGCACGTCCTCAAAAGAAGTCGCTAGTTTATCCCAATGAGAACGTTGTAGAGACGTGGTCCACTGGTCTCCAGATAACTTTCCAGAAAATTGCATTACAAGTATTATCTTTGTGATATATATGCCATTTGGATATTATATGGGAATGGGAATGGGCTATATTGCGTGTGAGGATGCTGGAGGTGGAGATTTATAGCCTTTTCTCACAGCACTTGATATAATTAAACTTATTAATTTGATGGCGGATCCAGAAAAGTTCAAACGACAATCACCAGTGACAACTGGAGACTCACCCGCTGTAAAATGCAAAAGACTTTGGACTGAGAGTTTGGAAAAAGAGACTGCAACCGGACCCATGCGAAAAAAAGGATAAATATCTGAAGGGCTTTAAATGTAGTCACGTAATGCTGATGTTGTTAACATTAACAATTTTAGAACAAAGTATAATTTGCACGGTTTAACGTGATTTGATAAACGATCGTTAGATTTAATCAGCGCGATTTACTGCAATGTTTTTTTTTTCAGTAAGTTGGTCAGAAGAACAAAAGTGGATGATACTTACTTGTTCAGATTTTAGGGTGAAAATTCTTATGTTGGTCATACTTCCAAAAAGAATAATCGATGATTCTGAATGCCAGTATCCACACCGGTGCAGTGACTGACAGCTGCACACTCTCCTCAAAACATTGGATGCATCCGCGCTGTGCCGTGCCGAGGTACAACTCACGTAAAGTTGATAATTCCGCGAATGACTGCAATTGCAGATTTCGAACAGAGATGGCGACAAAGAGGAAAAACTGCGGACTGCAGCTTTAATTCATCAAAGATTTCATTAAGTTGTCTGGAGACAATGTTCTTACTCACTCATAAAGACTGCCATCTAACGGCGTAATAATGTAACTGTCACTGAAGTCCATATCACGATCACTAACAAACCATTTCTCAATACCAAATATGGCATATTATTTATATAAAATATTTATTGACCAACGATATTTAAATTAACAACAATAGCCATTATAAAAGACAACAGGAAATAAACACAAGCAAACAATTCAGTTAAAATGTACAAAAGCAGCACTTTGGTACAGGATTAAGTTAAATTTAGCCTAAATATAAAGTTATGAAACTTAATTTTCCACTTAACCCAACGTTTGTCCCGTTTCATATACCCAAAATTAATTGTATCTCATGTTTAACCCCTATCTACATACAGTAAGAGCCAGCGGCAAATTCCCATAGGACTGGCCAAGGTGAAGCTGTTCAAGGCCTGGGGCTCGTATCTGTAGTGTCTAAAAAAATGGTAAAATAAGTGCTATGTTTAAATATGAGTCACATATTTGAGGTCTAAATAACTTCATTCTTGCCTAAAAAAAAAAAACTCTTAAAACTAAAATTTCATGACACAACAACAGTAGTATTTTTTTTTAAATTGGTGTATTTGCTCGACCGCCATGATAGTTGCCGCAAGAGGAGCCAGATTCGATATTGGAACACCATACTAATACTGTGTTTGACCCCCTTTCGCCTTCAGAACTGCCTTAATTCTATGTGGCATTGATTCAACAAGGTGCTGAAAGAATTCTTTAGAAATGTTGGCCCATATTGATAGGATAGCATCTTGCAGTTGATGGAGATTTGTGGGATGCACATCCAGGGCACCAAGCTCCCGTTCCACCACATCCCAAAGATGCTCTATTGGGTTGAGATCTGGTGACTGTGGGGGCCATTTTACTACAGTGAACTCATTGTCATGTTCAAGAAACCAATTTGAAATGATTCGAGCTTTGTGACATGGTGCATTATCCTGCTGGAAGTAGCCATCAGAGGATGGGTACATGGTGGCCATAAAGGGATGGACATGGTCAGAAACATTGCTCAGGTAGGCCGTGGCATTTAAACGATGCCCAATTGGCACTAAGGGGCCTAAAGTGTGCCAAGAAAACATCCCCCACACCATTACACCACCAGCCTGCACAGTGGTAACAAGGCATGATGGATCCATGTTCTCATTCTGTTTACGCCAAATTCTGACTCTACCATCTGCATGTCTCAACAGAAATCGAGACTCATCAGACCAGGCAACATTTTTTTCCAGTCTTCAACTGTCCAATTTTGGTGAGCTCTCGCAAATTGTAGCCTCTTTTTCCTATTTCTAGTGGAGATGAGTGGTACCCGGTGGGGTCTTCTGCTGTTGTAGCCCATCCGCCTCAAGGTTTTTATGTGTGTATGTATGCAATTATATGGATACTGAAGCTTTCAATATTTAAGAAGGATGCAAACATGCCACAAGTAGCATAAATATAGTGTTGCCCACACATACTGTATTGTGTCCACCTTAAAGGTGCATTGCGCAAGTCTCTGAGTTTTTGCAGAACTATGCCCCCTCTGGCGACAAGCGAAACTGCAACCAGAGGTGTGCAGGCTCATGGACCACACGCATACGCACGCTTGCACGAGCTGTTCATAACCAAAAGAGCATCAGCCGCACAAATCTTTTATTTACAGTCATAATGTCTTCAGAGGTAATAAAGTTATAAATCTGCAAGTAATTTTAAATATATGAAAGGAAAGGCATTTGAGTAAATTACACACTTATGTGTGAGGGGAAAACGGGGGTAGTAGAAAACTTCGGTTT